CTACAAAGACAACTGAACCAAGCCAAGGAACTTATGAACTTTAGACCAACAGCAGTGGAAACTGCATGGGATCAGACTAGACTTTCCGCATATGGGAGACTGTGGCGTAGCTATGTCTGTTTGAGGTGCCCCTGGCAGTGTGACCAGGATCTATCCCTGGTACATGAGCCGGCTTTCTGGATCCCATGACCTATGGTCAGACACCGTTCTCACCCATAATAAAACAGGGAGGAGCTTGGTCCTGTCTCATCTGAATATACCACACTTAGCTGTACCCCCATGGGAGAACTTATTCTGTTGGAGGAGAGGATGAGGGGTGAGGGGAGTGTTAGTTTCATGCAGCGCTGTTTACCCCACAAGAAAAAGTCACAAGACACAGCAAAACTCACTATAAGAATTTATTAGAAGGGAGGGACAGGAAAAGGTGTCCTTAGGCCTATTTGGAAGATATGTGCAGAGGAGAGGGAGGTATATGGGATCCACCTTTTATGGCCTCCCCCACGCATGCGCGTATGGGCTTACATAGCTATGACACACATGAGCATGGATTATGTGATCATGCTCTGTGCAAATTACATGACCATGCAGTGCATGGATTACATGGGACTTACAACCCCGGAAATGACTAACCATCTTGCCAGTGCATGCGTGGTCATGTGGGTATGGCTCCAAATCCAATGGGGGGTGAGGGGGAGAGCGGGCAGAGGGATGAAGGGGGAATCTGGGGTTGGTACATAAAATGAATAATAAAAAAAAGCAAACTGAGAATGAGCCACGAAGCCAGCCAATAGCGGTGCTCTTCCATGCCTCAAGCTCTTGCCTTGAGTTCCTGCCTTGGCTTCCCTTGATGATAGGCCAATCAGAAGGAGGGAATAAACCTCCCTCCCCCAGCAGCTTTGGTCATTGTCTATCTCACCAACATGAAAGCTAACTAGAACATTTGCTGAGCTATCCTACCAACCCCTAAACAACATACTTCTAAATGATCAAGAGTAAGCCTTGAGAAAATACTTGTAAGTAGTATATCACAGAGAAGGCTGGCCATCCAGTACTGCTAGAACTCCAAAAGATGAAAATGAGAATTCTAACCTTAAGAGTTATCAGGGTCTCAAGTTTTTTCAACCCCAACTCAGAAACACAAAGAGAAGAGGTCATTGTGTGGAAGGAAACCAGATTATGTACTTCTACATAGGTGTTTTCAGACTCAAATCCATAGGCCAGCTGCTCAAACACTAATCCTCAAGAGATGAAGAGTTGGAAGGAAGGACATATTTACCCAAGAGGATATCATTCTGAAGAGATGGGAAGGAATTACTGTGCTGGGTATCACCCAGCCTTCTGCTGCTATGACAAAACACCTTCAAAAGTCAACTTAAAGAAGGTAATTTGCTTTCCAGATGTTCAGTCCTTGATGACTCAGGTCTGCTGCTTCTGGGCTCTGGTGAAGCAGAACATCATGGCAGAGAGCATGCTGATGCCCTCACAGAGCCAGAGTGGAGAATGTGTAGTCAGTTCTCTCTAGAGGATCAAAGCAACGGAATGATTTCTTAGATTGGCTTACATGGTAGGGCATGGACAGTCCAACTATGGCCATTGCACATTAGAGAGACCTTCAACCCAGTAGTCACTCAGCTTATGAGGCTGGGCGTCTCACCTGTCCCTGCCTGGCACCAAAGGCCTGGATGATTCCTGGAAAGTCACTGGTTTTTAGCTCTCTTTGGAAAACTGAAAAAGATGGTTCAGCAAAGGAGTCAACAGAAGCAGCAACAGAGTAGCTGAACCTGCCAACAAGAGTCAAGGCCAACTGAGAAAAAATGGGGGAAGAAGGAAGGAATTTCCTTCTTCTATGTCCTTTTACTAACAATGAGAGAGAGAAACAGAAAGAGGAGAGAGAGATCCAAAACCCATGTATATTGGCAGTGACCTACTTCCTCCAAACAGGTCTAACTTCCAAATAATACATTTAAGTGAGAGCACAACAGTGGATGAACCTGTTGAGGAAGTTAAAACTCTCATGATCATCACTTCTCAAGGGCCCCCTTCTGCACTGTCATGCACTGAGGACTATGAAGCTCAGTTTTAATGGTCCACTTGATCCAGCCTAGAATTACATAGGAACAGTCTCAATGAAAGATCAAGATCAGATGAGTCTGTGTGTAAATCTGTGGGGGGTTCTCTTAATCACCTCTATTGAGGTGGGTAGACCCAGCCCACAGTGGGAGACACCATTCTCTAGGTAGGGGGACCTGGAGTGCATAAGAGTTCAGGAGGGGAGCCGAGCACAGACGTGCATGCAGGAATCCATTGCTCTCTGCTTCTGGACTATGGATGGGAGGTGGCCAGCTGTCTTTACAACTGGTCACTGTGACTTTCCTGACAAGATGGAGGCAAACATTTTTTCATCTGCTTCTGTCAGAATACTTAACAGCAGCAACAGGAAAAGAAACTGAAAAAGAGAAATGCCTTCCATGTATGAGACAGCCAGGTGAACCTGATCCCCTCTCCTCTGCCAAGATTCTTTAAACACTCAGAAGAGGGGAGGGAAGACTTAAAAATGGAGGCAGGAGCAGACAGACAGACCATGTGGCAGGGCTCACATGGAGGGTTGATTAAGGGGAGACAAGAGTTGAGAGAGGAGCAGAGAAGGGAGAGGGAATGATTGGGAGATGCACAAGGGAGGGGAATGGAAGAGAAGGGAGAGAGAGGGAGGGGAGAGGAGGGGAGAGGGAGCAAATGATTGGTTAAGGTGTATGACTCCCTTGCCTGCTGGCCTCTCCCAGGAGAGTGGGAAAGAGATAAGGAATGGGTGGAGCTTGCCTTTAAAAGGGGTTCTAGTGCATGTGTAGAGGCTCATGCAGCCAGGCAGGGAATGTGCATAGATTATGTGACTTACAGCCCTAAGATCTGGGAGCTGCCTAGGTTTTTGCCTGGAGTGCTAACAAAGAGTGTAAGAGCCCAGGCATGGGGAGGAATTGTGTGAAATATCCTCAGGACACAACATGGCTGCTGCACTCCTGAGGTCACAGTGACTGTGCCCACCTGCCTGAGGCAGATGCAAGATCAAACCAGTTAAAAACTCTACCAAGGAGAGAAAAGGCTCTCCCTGGGCCCTACCACTAGCTGAGGAGCTGTTGGCAGCTGATGGCCACTGATGGAGGGAGAGTCACTTTTGTTTGGGTGAGGGCCCTGTATGTTGCCCATGCCCTGGTGGATGACCACACACTCGTGTGCATATAGGAAGCACTAATTGGGTTTAGTGCATTAAAAATAAGTAAATAAATGAGTAAGAGTCACAAAGTGTTTGTAAAAGAAGGAACAGAAGGACAAGGTGCATCAGCCAGGAAGGGGAATGATGAAAGGAATGTTTGTCATTTAGACTCTGCGTTTATCCTGTCTTCTGCTGGAACAGCCTTGAAGAAACAACCACCTTCATCTACTGGGTCAGGCCCTGCAGCCTCTGAGACAAACTCACTGTTTCCCTACAGTCAAATCCTAGTCCTTATGCTGGTTAGTTGTGTCAAGCTGGCACAAGCTAGAGTCACCTAGTGTCTCCACTGGGGTCTCTGCTGCTGATAAAACACAGTGACCAAAAGCAACTCAGGGAGGAAGGGGTTTATTTAATGTTAAACCTTGTAATCTGTCACCCCGAGAAGTCAGGGCAGGAATTCAGGGCAGGAACTGATACTCAGTCCTTGAGTTGTCTCAGCACCTGAGCCAACAGAATCTGGTGAGGTTTCCCTTATAGCTCTGGGGGCGACAAGTTCATACCCGGCAGCAGCACCCCTGTGGAATTGATTGTGCTGGTGCACAGGATTCCAGAGCTGTGCAGACCCCGTCCTCCCCTGCAGTTTCAGTTGACATTGCAGACAGCACAGGAGCCCGGAAGGAAACTTCTCCCTGAGCAAAGCTGCTGCAGAGTCCGCACTAGTGTTCCTGGATCCAGGGTCAGAGGATGGCAGGAGGAGGAGAAAGAGCTGCACACCGGCTCTCCTCCCCCTCTCTGCTTCCCAGGGTGTCAACGTGAGCAGTTTCTCCTCTCCCTCTCTGCTTCCTATGGTGTCAACGTGAGCAGTTTCCTTCGGTTGCGGTCACTCTCACTTCCACACTGGGTGAACTGCACCCTCACACTGCTAGCCAATACCCAAACCGAAACCCCGTGTGTCTTTGCGTTGTTTTCATCAGGTATTTGGTAGCAGCAATGAAGGAAGGACCTAACACACCTCCACAGCCCTCCCCTAGATTCATGGGAAGTCCTGCTGTGTCAGATGCTCAGCACCTCCCTCTGGCCTCTTCTGGTGCTGGTCCCCACTTCTCCTTTTCTCTTTCTGAGTTCAGATTCAGAGAGTGAGGAGCAGATGTGTGGAAAATAAAAGCTGATGTTGCCAGCAGTCAAGGACACTGAAGGACAGCAGCAATGATGAGCGACTCCATGGAAGCAAGCGAGAAGCAGCAGCCAGGCCTCCTAGGTGACACAGGGATGGGGTGGGTGGCAGCTTGGGGCTCAGAGTGGTCACTTCTGGCCTCTGCACACAGTCACACAAGTATGCACACATATATACACACTGCGGGCGTGTGTGTGTGTGTGTGTGTGTGTGTGTGTGTGTGTGTGTGTGTGTGTTTATGTTCATTAGCTGTGGAGTTGTGGAGACAAGAAGCCAAGAAGATGCAGAAGTATTTTCTAAGAGTCTTGGATCCTGGAGAATTAGACATTTCTCTGGGTTCCTGGAATCTAAAGGCTCAGGCCTAGAGACTAGACCCTGACCTCCAGAGCACCAGAAAGTGAAGGCTGGAACCCGACCTGCTGTTTTCTGGGGGCGGAGGTGATTGGCGGCCTTGTTTTGAAATACCTGCCTCTCCCACAGGGTGGCTGAGCCACAACCAAGGCAGCCTGGTGCTGCATCTCCTGTCTGTCCTGCTCCTGACTGGGCTGCTGGTCGCTGTTCTTGTTCAAGGTCAGGCGGGAACAGGCATTTCCAGCTCTGTGGAATGGCCCACCGGCCATGGCAGTGGGATCTGGGAGTGAAGAGAGGGAAATGTTGAGAGTGGGCCACACTGAGGCCTCAGGGGCTTCCCACACTGGAGCAGAAGTGTGTCGGGAGGTGGGGGATACGGGTAGGGGAAGGGCCCAGGTCCATTTCTTGTGGTTTGGTCATCTTTGTGTCATTCTCTTCTTTTTAAACGTGATGAAAGGTGTTCTGCTGCAGCAATCCAGTGCAGGTCATAACACACAAGAAGTATTTGTACAATTGTAGTTTCTGGGTTCTTTTGGTGCAGGTTTCAAGGCCCCCAGCTCCCCAGGATATGAGAAAATCTATCAGCAGCTGCTGCAACTGAAGGGTGGAGTGGGTAAGTGACCAGAAATCAGGCCTCCAAGGACCTGAGAAGGTCTCCTTGGGAACACACTATGTTTGAGGCATTGACCCTCTCCAGGCCTCAGTTTCCACTTCTATGGGGACTTGATGTCTCAGTGGGTAACGTGCTTGCTGTACAGAATCTGAGTTTGAGCCACAGAAGCTATATTTTTAAATAAAAAGGCATGGGGATGTATGTTTCTACCTCTAGCACTGGGGAAATGGAGGCGGATTCCCTCAGACTCACTGGCCAGCCATCTTAGTGCACTTATACACCTTTACACACACACATGCATGTACACACAATAGGCAAACAAATTAATTAATAGGAACACAGGGCAACAGCCAGGGAATGGTTTTGTGGTCTCGGGGGTGACACACATAGTAGGCAGTCAGTTCACACAGAGGTCATACACATCAGCAGCACTCAATGTTTCCAGCACTGTGTATGCAGTAGGTACTCAGTGTTCACGTTGGTCATGGGCACAGTAGTCAATATAGTCTTCTGGGCTCTGTTTCAGTCTCTGAAGTTTCTACTTCCCCCAGGATGCAGTGTCAAGTGAGGGAGGGCCCTGACTCTGGAAGGCTGGAGCAAATGCAGGATCTTGGGCATCCAAGTGAGGGTCCCTCCTGATCTACCCTCCCCCAATAGACAGCATTTGCCGTCCTTGCCCCTGGGAGTGGACATTCTTCCATGGAAAGTGTTACTTCTTCTCCAAGTCGCAGCGTAACTGGAATGATTCCATCACTGCCTGCCTGGAAGTGGAGGCCCAACTCGTCATCATTGAGAGTGATGAAGAGCAGGTACGCTCGATGGCTTCCTCGCCCTGGGACAGGCGTTGACTGAGTGTGGAAGTCATGGCTGGCCAGAAAGTGCTTCTGGTTAGGGTCTGCTTACTGCACTTGGAAAGGGAGAGAAGAGGTGGGACTGAGGGTCCCTGGCACCCTCTGAGTTGACACATCAAGTCTGAACACACTTGAATGCATCAGAAAACCTATAGTATAAGTCATCAGTCATAGCTTCTCTTACTACTGCTGTCCTCATACCCTGATAAAAAGCAATTTAAGGGGGCTGGAGGGATTGCCCACTTCCAGGCAGGCAGTGATGGAATCATTCCAGTTGTTTTGTAGTGTGTGTGGTATTCTTGTGTGTACGCATGTGTGTATGTGTACTCTTCTGTGTGTGCTAGTGGAGACCAGGTTGAATGTTGGAAGTCTTCCTCCATTGCCATTTATATATTTTGTTTTTTTCGAGACAGGGTTTCTCTGTAGCTTTGGAGCCTGTCCTGGACTAACTCTGTAGACCAGGCTGGCCTTGAACTCACAGAGATCCACATGCCTCTGCCTCCCAAGTGCTGGGATTACAGGCATGTGCCACCACCACCCAGTCCTGCCCTATATTTTTTAATTCTTATATATATGAAACAGCAAAAATGAAAGAAGAAGACCATCAATTTCAGGGAAAAGCATGGGAGGGCTTATAAACAAGGGAAAGAAATTATGTAATTGTACCTTAGCCAGAAATTTAAATTAAAATATCTATTATTTTTTTATTTTTGAACATTTGACACACACAGACAACCTCTTTTTTGTTTTGCTTTTTAGGTTATTATTTAATTAGAACATTTCTCCATTACCTTCATCCTTCCAAACCCTCTGATGTATCCCTCTCCACTCCTCTTGGAGTTCATGACCTTTGTAACCTGACTATTATTGCATGCACATCTGTATGCAGTCATGCACATCTGTATGCAGTCAATATCTTTTGATCAAATCCCCGCCCCCTGCCCTCCCTTCAGAAGCACCCAACCACATGACCTTGCCGACTTCATGAATTGTTGCTTTAGCCTGAGTCAAACTAGTACTGCCAGCCAGTGTGTCTGTCCTTCCTTCCTTCCTTCCTTCCTTCCTTCCTTCCTTCCTTCCTTCCTTCCTTCCTTCCTTCTATTTATGTGTTTACTTATTTCTGCATCTCTCTCTTTCCTTCCTGTCTTATGTTTGAGACTGGTTCTCCCACTGAACCAAGAGCTCCCTGTTTTAGCCAGACTATCAGGTAAGTTCTGGAATCCGCCTGTCTCCCCAACACCCCTGAGTAACAGGCATGTGTGACTATGCTCAGCTTCTGTGTGGGTGTGAGCAATCCAAACCCAGGTCCTCATGATTGTCAAGAAAGCACTTTATTTGCTGAGCTATATCCCCAGGCACAGTCATTTCCCTCTTAATTTCCTGAGTCTGTCCCCCCCAGGGTAACCCAGGAGGCCAAGGCCACCTCACATAAGCACAGAGAATAGCAGGGACATTAAATATCAGAACAGTCAGGACTCTGGTTTAATTGAAGATGTTCTGTGTGCATGGCCCTTGTGTCTAGTGACTGCCATCCTTAATGTTACTCTGTGTTCCCATTCAATGGATAGAGAAACTGAGGGACTGGAGGCTCAGTCTCTGAAGTCACCTCATACCACATGGAAACCTTTTCATACTCTTGGAAATCCATTTTCTGGTCACACACCTAGTCCAGCCTTCAGTTGGTCCAGTTCCTGGTGGATGTGTTGCTTTACCTGCTGCTGCTCCTGCTCCTGGGTGCTAGGAACGTCAGAGCCTATGCCAAGAGAGTGAAGATGAAAACATTAAATGCTGATAGATGTAAGAGAGGAAGCCACTGGTTAAGGAAAAGAGCTGACCCCAACTCCCCCTTTAGGAGTTAGCTCTGTTAGAAGGGCTTCAAGACTATGCCCCAGCCTCCGGGTTTGGAAAGAAAACATTACTATATGAAAACAATGTACCAGGTCCCTAAAACAAGAGAGAGGCTTCCCCTTAACACCGGGAAGAGTTTCTAGTAAGAGTAAGAGAATAGCTTTCATGACAGGATGACAGATGACGGGACAGGACCACAGCAGCCTTCAGAGAAGTTCCCCCAACAAGGGAAAGATCTGACTTTACACTTCCAGGGAGTCGCAGGAGTTTCACCTCTCACCCCACATGATTCCTTCAGCATAGCATAGGTGACAAAGAGCACAGAGGGGCCGGGTACATGCACTGCAGGCTGTCAAGTCACACAGAAGCTTTTTAACTCTCTGACCCAGAAAAGGAGGGCTGCGAGGAGTTAGGTCTGATTGCGTCAGGCTGTGGGATCTAGACTTTAAAGTGACCAGAAGCTCTCAGTACTAACCAGGGAAGCTCCTTCTTGCAGTAAGTTGTGATTGAACACGGAATGAAGTAGAAACCTCCTGACTTCTCTCCTTTGTTTACAGACATTCCTGAGTGTGATTTCTAAGGATAAAGGATCTGCCTGGCTGGGTCTCTCTGACCTGAAAGAGGAAGGCTCATGGCAGTGGGTAGACGACTCACCTATGAAAGACAGGTAGCCCTGGGAGCATGGAGCCTCACGGAGAGTGGGTGGGACTGTGAAACTGACCTCAGCTGTCCTCCAAGTCCTTGCCCCTTCCTCCCTCCCTCCCTTAGGCTTAAATGTCCATGATATTCATTGAGTCGATGGGGGAGGGTCTTCATACCCATGTTGGTGGTCCTTTATATTCCATAATCAGAGTGGGCAGGAGCAGTTTGCAACTTGTTTGGATTGTTTAAGTATAGTGTGTTAAATAATTGGGGAGGGAGAAACCTCAGCCAATCAAGTGTCGGCTTTGCAAGAACGAGAACCTGAGTTTTCTCCCCAGAACTTTCTACACCAACAGGGTTACTTGGGAATGATGAGGGCTGGTCGTGAGGCAGGAAGTGAAGGAGATTCTATCAAGAGACTCTGGAAAAAGTGTTCACCACACAATTATGAAAATCTGAGTTCAGATCTCCAACATCCACATTTAAAAAATGGTGTGGTGACATGTACCTGTAGTACAACTGCTGGGGAGGCAAAGACAGAGCAGTTCCTAGAGCCTATGGGGCAGCTAGTTCAGTCTCATTGTGAACTTCAGGCTCAGATAGGGACCCTTACTGTAATAATATCAGGTGGAGGCTGGTGAGCTGGCTCATTCAGTAAGTGCCTGACATGGAAGCATGAGGGCCTGGGTGTAGATTCCCAGCACCCACAAAAATCAAGGTGATAGCAAGCATCTGTCATTCTAGCACTGAGAACAGAGACAGACAAAAACCAGGAGTCACTGACTAGCTCACAAGAACTGGCAATCAGTGACCTCAGGCTCAGCAAGGGACCATGTTTCAAAATACAGAGTGCATCCTGATGTGGTGGCTCACACCTTTAATTCCTGCACTCAGGAGGCAGAGGCAGGCAGATCTGTGAGATCAAGGCCAGCCTGAGAGTTCCAGGACAGCTTACAAAGCAACACAGAGAAATGCTACCTCAAAACAAACAAACAAAAAAAATGAACAAACAAACATACAGCTTGTTATACTTAAAGATCCATGATGTCATGTGAGCTACAAAAGAACTGCCACATACCATGAGAACATGAAAAGAAACAGGTGGAAGGAAGGAGGCCAAGGCCGTTCTCTTGATGTCCATGGAAAGAAACATGGGAGATTATAAACCAGGCTGGTTCGGGATGTCAGTGGGCTCTGAGATGTCATAATGTTCCATTTTCAGTATCAGGCATGATAGAGATCATCAACGAATCACAGATAAGGAGGAAACACTGGGCTCCAGGTTCCCCAGCTGGCACTTGCTTGTCAGGAGATCTCAGTTTAGATTAGGGTTAGAGAGTGACAGGAAGCTGCTATGTGACTGAGTCCATGTGACAGGGAGGGTGGGGAGGGAATCTCAGGTCCCAGGGTATTTGTTAGACAAGGTGTGTGTCCTGACTCAATAGAATGGGGAATCTGAGAAGGAAGCTATTCTAGATGCTGGGAAGAATGTTCCCTGCTGAAGAACTTAGCCATTGAGGAATAAAGGGGGACAGAAAAATATAGTAAGGAATATTAAGAAAAGAAAAGAAATTGCTTTGCATCAAATCTACATGGGAGATTCTTTTGTCCTTTGTCCAGCTGACACATGATTCTGCAAAACCTAAGATAAAACTGCATCAGTTTCACAATTTGAAGTCTCTTGATTCTGTATAGTAGAATAAGGGTTTCTCACACAAATACTTTAAGCATGCCATCAGGTTCTGGGTGAGGTATGGCTGCAATATGCACATGCGATGGACGTGAGTGCATCCTAGTGTCAGGAGTTAGATATAGTGAGAGTAAAGTCTGGGACAGGGCCTCATGATGTTTGGGGATTTTCAGTTTCAGAAAATATTGGTTAAAAGGGGAGCCCAGCAACATTTACGATGAAGACTGTGCAGAAATTTCAAGTACTGGATGGAAGGATAACTCATGTTCCTTAGAGAAATTCTGGATCTGCAAGAAGCCTGCATCTTCCTGCTCTAGGTGAAATCTACCCACCTCCATGGCCATCATTTGTCCAACCTATTTATCATTTAGCCAAATGTTAAGTAGATTCGTATCAGTTCCTTCTGTCTTTCTGTGAATACTGGGATCTCACCAAAAGATCTGGACTCTACTTTTCCACACACCTTGTTCCCAAGGGCTTGGGCCACTGCTCTGCCCTCTCCTGTGCCTACGGTTTCTTTGGTTGAGACTATGGTTCTGACCCATATTTTCAGCTTTCTTCCTGGAGAAAATTCTGGGTTGATCACCATTGCATTGGTTTGACTGAGATTGTCCCCCAAAGGCTTGCCCATTTGAACACTTGTTCTCCAGTAGGTGGTGCTGTTTGAGGAGTTGATGGAACTTCGGCAGCTGGACCCTTGCTAGAGAAAGCACATCATTAGGGGTGGGTTTTGGAGTTTATATTCTCACCTCACCTTCTGTTCTCACTCTGTGTCTTGTGTGTGGATGAAATTGAGATCAGCCAACTTCCTGTTCCCGATGCCATGCTTTACTTTTCCCTGCCTGTTGCTATGTCTCTTCAACCATGATGAACTGTATTTCTTTGAAACAAGCCAAAATAAAACCTTCCATCCCTATATTGCTTTCTGTCTGGGTATTTTTTTATCATGGCAACAGAAAAGTATGTCAGTCAGATCCAACGCTTAAGAAATGAGAGTCAGCACAAAGGAATCAGGTGTATTGAGCATCTGGCTTCCTGGAACAGGCAGGGCTATCACGATCTAAGGTTCATCTTGGGAAACCCAAGTATGCTAATGTCTTTATTAGGAGAAGAAAGAATAAGTCTATCTCTTGAGAGAACCATTCTTATCTACAGCATATGTCTCCTTTATCCTCCTACCTGGAGTGTTAAAGTTTATCCTGACCTATGACCCAGTTTAGTTTTGTTTAAACAGATATGTTACTTTTCAGAAAGTTAAACTTGGCAGCCACTTACAAACTTCTCATAGGCGATGTCTAGGAAGAGACTGGGTGTTAAGGGACATTAAGAAAGCATTCTTACAATGAACAGCAGTGAATTCAGAGGCTGGAGGCTGTCCAAGAAGCTGAGAATGAGTGAGCGTTGTGGCCTCAGCACTAAAGAAGACATATAGACATCCCCTTCAAAGGCCCAGGCAACATTCTGGAAGAGGGTACAGAGGACATGTAAAAGACAGAAGGTGGAGTCAAAGGTTGCCAAATGCCATTTTCTAGAATCCACACAACTATTGCAATCACTAACTCAACAGCAGTTGCCTGCACTGGACCCATGCAAGACTTGCCCTATCAGTCAAGTAATGGGCAGGTGCTAACAGGGCCCAATCCATGACCTTGGAACAGCTGTGAAGAGGTTCTGAGAGAGGAAAGTCATTGTCCCTGGTTGGGTACTCACTGCTGAGTCCACCAGTTTCCAGTGAAGAGCACCAGCTCCAGGTCACACACACATGGATAAATTCAGTAGGTCACAAACCAAATAAACAGATGTGGGCATGGGTGAGATTCGTTGGAGGGTAGGGAGTGTGTAGCTAGAATTTTTCTGGTCCTGCCTGGCCCACGGTCAGGACAAATCTCTCTCACCCGCCAGTCCCACAGCTGTTCAGACCCAACCAAGTAAACACACAGAGACTTTCATTGTTTACAATCTGTATGGTCGTGGCAGGCTTCTTGTTATCTAGTTCTTCTATCTTAAATTAACCCATTTCTATTAGTCTATAAGTTGCCACGTGGCTTGTGACTTACAGTACTTTACATCCCGCTTGTCATGGTGGCAGTTGGCAGCATCTCTCTGCCTTAGCCTTCCACTTCCCAGAATTCTCCTCTCTCCTTGTCCCGCCTATACTTCCTGCCTGGCTACTGGCCAATCAGCATTTTATTTATTAACCAAGCAGAGCAACATTTAACATATAGACCTTCCCACAGCACTAGTGGACAGAGGTGTTAGGGAGATGAACAAGGCTAAGGATCAGAGTGTGGTCAGTATGCATTTTATACATGTGGGGAATTGTTTAAGAACAAATTTAATTAATAGTTAGAAGACATTAGGGACTGGAGAGATGACTCAGTGGCTAAGAGCTCTTATACCCCTTGAAGAGAGCCTAGCTTCAGTTTCAAGCACCCACATTGGGTGGCCCCTAGTGACCTGTGACTCCAGTTCTGGGAGGTGTAACACTCTCTTCTGATGATGGCAGGCATACATGTCCTGTGGTGCTCATAAACTCATACAGTCGCACATGCTTTCACATGAATAGGAAGGGAGGGAGGGAGAAAGGAAGAAAGACACCAGATGTTTTAGGCTCTGAAGGTCTAAAGAGACATTTTTGGTAGTGAGCACTTTAAACATTTAGGCCCTGAGTTATTTCAATTTGTCATCTTAGAAATAAAATTCCTGGGAGCCTTTTGTTTCCTTTTCAGATTACTTGACTCTCCTTGGTCCACAGAATCAACTGTGGAGGCTGGTTCTCTGTGTTCAGAGATCCACTACCACTGTTAAGGGGCTCTAACTGGGGGCCAGTGTTCCCAGAATTCCCTCCACACAGTATGAAAAAATGTCGACTGCTCCTCATGGGACACCAATGACAAACTAAAGTACAGCTCCACAAAAGTGTGACTTTGTGGTCAGTGAGTTTGTTGGGCTCACTTACATAGCACGGGTGAAGGGTTATCCACAGGAGTGTGGGTGAACTTACTGTGATAGCCTGTTTTCAGGTTCCTTGTGGCTTTACCCAGCAGGTCCGCATTAGAGAGGATGATTAGGACCACGAGCCTGTGTGCAGATGTCTGAGATGATCTGCACTTGGCTGTGCTGGGGGAGGAGGTCTTTTGCTCCACCCCTTGGCATCTCTATAAATACCCTGGGGCAGAGTCAGGGCTCCTTGGAATAGGTTCCAGGCCCCCTTGAGGCTATCCGTTATTTTCTATCTGTTTATCTCCGCAGTATAAATCCTTCTATCCAATATTTCCTGCTGCTCGCCCTCAAGAACTGGGGAACTGTGGGCTTAGTGGGTAAATGCCTCACACCTTACAGCAGCTGCAACACTGGAAAGTCTCACCCCATCTTGGCTGACGGCCTCCCCACAACTACATAGACAGACTTCTCTCTTCAGTCAACCTCCCACTGTCTAGAATCTACTGAGACTTTTAGTACGCATGCAGTTAGGGCTGCAATACTTGCAATGGACTGAGAGGTATGGTTAGAAGCTCCTGAATCCCAGGCATAAGCCCAGTGACTTCCCCAACCCTTCCATTTGGGAGAGAATGTCAACAGTCAACAGATTTGAACTTGAGGGTCTCTCTCAAGTAGTCACATCTCTTCTGATGAAGATAGCAGCTGTTATGCTCTGAGGATGGCATTACAGAACATCCAGGAGCAAATTCCTGTGCTGACACAGGTCTTCCCCATGGCACATGGAGTTTCAATAGATAAGAGTATTCATAGCATAAAATCCCATGTCTGGGGGGCTGGAGAGATGGCTCAGAGGTTAAGAGCACTGACTGCTCTTCCAGAGGTCCTGAGTTCAATTCCCAGCAACCACATGGTGGCTCACAACCATCTGTGGTGAGATCTGGTGCCCTCTTCTGGTCATACATGCTATATACAAAATAAATAAATAAATCTTTCAAAAAAAATCCCATGTCTGACAATAGCAGTGAATCCTTAGTTCATTTCTACTGATGTGATAAATATACCCTGACAAAGGCAATGTACCAGAGGAGAATTTATCTTAACTACAACTCCAGGTTTTAGTCTATCACTTCATAGAAGTCAGGGCAGCTTTAAGCAGTTAGTCACATCTACTGTTAAGAGCTGAGAGAATGAACGCTTGCTTGCTAATGATTTGGATCACTTATTTCTCCATTCTTAAATTTCAGGACAAATCAGGGAATGATGCTACCCACAGTGGGCAGGTCTAACCACTCAACACAATCAAGAATGTATCCCACATACATCTCTTATAGGTTAACCTGAGTTAACAGTCTCTCACAAGGCATTTTCTCCAAATGATATTAGAGGTGCCAACCAGACAATTAAAACCACCACTACATATTAAATATTAAAACCAGAAATTGTTTTGGCTGAACACAAGAGTGACTTCAAATCATCATGCCTGAGAACAATATTAAACCAAGGCAGTAGGCTTAAATCAGAGAGGATGCCATTTCTGCAAAGGCTGGGGCTGTTTCTGGTCCATCCCTATTTCAGTGGAGGAGACAGAGCAAGGCAGCTTAAGTCTACATGTTATTGGCTTCATTAAAGGCTTCTAGAGGGGAAAAACAGCATGAGCAAGAGCACTTGCTGCCAAGCATGAGGACTTGAGTTCAAATCTCCAGAAACATGAAAAAAACAAACAAAAAAAAAAAAAAAAAAAAAAAAAAAAAAAAAAAAAAAAAAAAAAACAAGATCAACAGATATATGGTTGCCTGTGGGGGTGGAGACAAGAGGATCACTGGGACTTGCTGACTGACACTCTAGCTCCAGATTCAGAGAGAGACTTTGTATCAGGGAATAAGGTGGAGAATGATAGAAGAGGAGACCTGAAGTTCTCTGGCCGCTGTTCATGCACACACATGCAGATGTATCCTCACACACATAGATGTACAGTACAAATGCATATATCCATGTGAGCGTGTATACACACGCACACACGCACGAGCGCGCGCGCGCGCGCGCACACACACACGCACACACACTTCTAATAGGCTACCACCAGTGCACTGTATCTTCATGTTGCCAACATCGAACCTTCCTGAAATTCATGGATGGTCTGAAGTGTGCCATGATGTGCCAGATGCCCAGAATCTTCCTCTAATTCTTCCAGTGCTGCTATCCAGGTTCCCCCATTTTTCTTCCTGTGGCAGAGGTATACTCAGGAAATGAGGAACACGGGTGACAGAATCCATGATCTTCAGCAGTTCTGGGCACTGAGAACAGCAGCAAATGTGAGCAGCTCCAAGGAAGCAATTGTGCTGTCCAGCCTGGAGGAGGCTCAGTTGAGCCTCTGAGCATCTTATGGAGGTAGGGAGAGCATCTCAGGTTTCAGCAGGCTGAGGCTGCCATTTGTGCTCTTTCCATTTAGAGGAGAAGTTGATGACCAAAGACATTAGATACTCCATCAAAGAAATATATTATTCAAGCAGTGTCTGTGTTCAAAAGCTTTGCAAAGAGAACAGTATCCGGGTCTGAGGAGTTGGGGACACCTCTAAGACCCTGTTACTGGCGATGTAAATTAGAGAAGCCACAGAGGAAATCATTATGGAGATGCTTCAAAACACCCAAAGTAGAAGCACCATATGATCTAGCAGTGAGTGAAGGTATGTACCTGAAGGGATGAAATAGAGTGCAGAAGAGATCTGTGCATGCATACATAATGTTGCACTCATAACAAGAGCCTGAGTACTTCCATCAAGAGATTAAGGACTTAGGAAACAGGTGTGTGTGTGTGTGTGTGTGTGTGTGTGTGTGTGTGTGTGTGTATAACTCCATCATCAAGAAGCATTAAATTATATCCTTTCTAGAAAAATAAGTTCGGTATTGGTATCATCATATAAAGAGAAGAAATAATTAAATGATAATGGAGAAATAGAAAAGGTAGAACAGACATGTTTTGA